CCGTTCTACGCAGTACCGTTTAAATGTTGTTATTGCCGTCGTCGTTAATAAGGTGTTGTTCGACGTTTTTGTAGTGGACAACAAATTCTGAACTGCTGATTGACCACGAGAACTGTTGTTTTTGATCACTGCGGTTGGTTGTCCGTTTTCCGAACGCAGCTACTACTCAACAGTTCTCCTGCAGTAGTTGTGTTTGTGCTGCGGTAGTGTTGTCTTTAGTAACGTGTCTGTGGTGTGACTGGTAATTCGTTGTGTGTGTCGTCCGTCCGTTCCTGTGTACGTATTTTCGGTCAGTGTCCCCTGCTCGTAGTTGTGTCACGTACGAAAGCGCTGTTTGAGCAGTTTAATTTTGATTGATTACTTTCATTATGATTATTTTATTCACATTCGTATGGTGATCGAGTTGTCGAACGTTCCTCCCTTGCTTAATGTTGATCGTCATCGATTCTGCGACTGACTCGCTTCCTTCGTCGTCGTCGTCCTCGTCGTCGTCGTCATAGTCATCATCGTCGGTGTCGAGTGATAGAGAGTCACAACGGTGCAGCACAGTTAGTGCACGTTAGTTGGCGTTGTTCACCGCAGCCACTAGGGCTGCACTACGTTGTGGCACACACGGGCTGCATGTTTATATCGTGGCCGACTGACGGCTCCTCCGGTATACGTAGACGTCCGTCAGTTATCTGTGGCACGTCATCGCATCGCGTCCCCCGACCGACTGGAGCCAGTATCCGATGTTCACCATCTTCGTAGTATATTTATTTATTTTATTTTCTATTTCTTATTTTACCAGTGCACCTTCTTTCATAAATTTCTGTTGCTCCTCGCAGCGCTTTGTGCAGCTTCCTGTCGCGCGCTTCTTAGTTCTCGCTCTACGCTGCTATGCTTGTTTCTGTCTCTGTTCTTATTCTTACTTCTTCTGGCCATATCCAGGAACTTAACGTGTGGCAGGCGGCGCGGGACAGGTGACAGTTGGCAGGCAAGTATTCAGGGTTTAACCGTTGTCCTCTGAATTGTGGTCCTTCCGAACAGTTTGAAGTTTAGCCCTTTTCTCTTATCTAGTGTCTGTACTGAACACTTCTGAATATAACTTTCACTGAAATCGCCAAAGTGGACAAGTCTTTGTCTTAAACAGTACTTTTTTCACGCAAACTGATTCTCCTAGCAAAAGTCACCTATGGCTTCCTTCTGCATTTTCCGTCTTCCGTTTTACCTTATGATAGCTCAGTTATGATTCTCATAGTGTCTGTTCTATAGGATCTGGTAATGGTTGTGATTTTCCGCAACGTCCTTTATGTTAGTCTTTGATTGAAGTCTGTTAAGCGGTAGGGTGAATAGGGCCAATCGCAGCACAAGTGAATAGAACAGTTGCAATGTATGCCTGATATACTACAGTTTTTCAAGTGTCGCTCTGTTCGAAAGCTGATGACTTGAAATTCATAGCCAAATTCTGACTCAAGTTGATTAATTTTAGCTTTGCATACTTTTATGAAAATCATCACACAAAACGCTGTGCATCTTCTGTCATGGCAAATAAATTTTATATAAAGGATTAGTTTCTTAATAGACGCAAAATAAGCTTTGCTTGAATCTGTCTGTCGTCTTAGATGATTTAAGCGGTAAGTGTTAGTACGTAATCATGTCTTGCTTCCCATATACGTACGTATGTTACGTGTCCAGCCCTGTAAGCCACTGTATCTGTTATCATATGGCTTATCTGCAATGTCAACAACACCGTGCCTTTCGTATTTATGTATTGCACCTCATGTTGATTTCGTCACTTATTAGGTGGTTCAAGACGAACGATTGTTTCTTGGGCGGGGGTGGGGGGAGGGGAGATATCAGGCAGCATTGCCATGTGTCTCGTATGTTGTGACATGACCACCCCAGGAGAACACACACTTTGTATTGTTTACAGGTCAGCAACTCGTTTATCGATTAGTTGGAATGAAGCATGGTTGTATACGTTCTTTGTGAATTAGAAGCTAATAAAGAACATGTATTTCACGCCACTCAACTCCAGTATTTCTTTAAAACCCAGTGCGCCACTTTATTCCGTTAAGGTCAACCCAATTCCACCTGGCGGTATGTCTATAATTTAGTGATATCAGTGAGGATCGGTCTTTGCATATGGCCACGGCAGTGAAAAGCCGTCTATTATAATTCATAAAATGTTCTGAGACGTCGTTGTCAGTCATCGTTTGAAAATTCTGTTCTCGTATGGTAGTAGTGTTTCTGTAACTATACGCTCCGCCTTTATAAAATTCGCAGCTTATCATTTCCGGTCGAAAAGTAGTAGCTGGTCAACAGAAGCCACTGTTATTTGATGGTACGTCAAAGGAAGCTCAGTTTTCTTGGGAATAAGGGAAATGAAATTCTGGGTATTTAGCTTGCGAATAAATTTAATGAATTTTTGCAGACCGATGACTGTTGACCAATTTGTTGGCATTTCATATTTGTTCAAAGCGAGTCGTTAGAATTCAGTGGTAGACGGCATACCCAATCCATTGAAACTTGAACTTCCTCTGATACGACATAGCGTTGGTCGTCATCATAACCAGTCAATTATCTGTTAGAGCTTACTCTTTGAACAAGATAGGTAAAAAAACTTGCTTTACGGGGTAAATAAGAGAAATTTGAGGCTAAATTAAATGAACGATCAAATATAAGCGAAACGTAAATTAAAAAAGCGTTTCAGGTCTTACTATCATTTGGATTCATAAATCTTAACCGATTACTAGACTGTCAAATAGGATATCCAAAGTGTGCGGTTTGCAGCGTACTACATAAGTCATAGCATCCGTTCTACAGGCTTTTATGCCTTCGTCGAGCTTTACCGTATGTTGTTACAGCGGCACCGGACGGCTGTAATCGTTGCTCCTGTTTTGAACGGTCCTGGCTTTGTCACATCCAACCGACCGCTGTATTTAAGTGTTGTCGCATTTGCTTCATCTGCGGATGCATTGCTTAGCATTGGTTCTTCCTTCGGTGAACGAACCACCCTGTCGAATAGTGCCTTTCAGCGTAAATCCTTTACATATGGTTCTAGCCATTGAATCTTAGCAAGTTCATTTCCTCATGAACCAGGCACCGCATCAGTAGAAGTTTTCGATATGTCAGTTAAACTTGATTAGGATCAGAGTGATGCGTTCAATTCTTATGGATCTTCGTTTTACATTAAATTTCGTTTGGAGGCGGTCTTTTTCTGATTTTTTTGTAGTCGTTTATCTTAGTTTTCAAACTGTCAATAGATTCGAGAATATGTAACTGGAGTCATGACCTGCTGAGTGCCGGACGCATTTCTTCCTTAGTTGTGACCACTCACTGTCATTCACCTTTTTCCCGGATACGGCCATCGCGAAGCTTGTAGGTTTTGCTTTGTAGTGTGAGAACGACGTTTATGCCTGTGAAAAAATGCACGATTGCATGTACGTCTAGTATAACCTGATTTCTTGTCCCAGCATGCTCAGTCTCATTCTTTTTATCGCCTCATGATGGCGTTTCAGGATATTCTGCTGCTGACCGCGTGACTTTCGTTGTTTGTTCGTACTGTGTGCAAACAGTAATGAAGAACGACATTTGGACGACGGAACGTGGCATTGTGCTTAACAGTTGATGGTCGTTGCATCTCGGTCAATTGTTTGTCTTTGTTATTGGGCACCTGAACATTTAACAGCACACCTCACGCCTCAACGACTTCTCTCCCTGTTTCTGCACTAATTTCGTGCCTTGCGTTTTCTCTATCTTTGCCTTGCCGTATGTTCGGTTATTGGATTTTTCCGTTCTATTCCATTCAGTTATGTTCTGTTTTTTTCGGTTTTAACGGCATGCTACTTCACACATGGTTTATTAAATTTTACTTGTTTTTGTACATTGATTTGTTGTTTTTTATTCAGCTTCGCGTCGTAAAGGCCTTCAAGCTAACCAATGATGACACCGATGACGAGAACTCAAACGCCAGTGGCCTGAGCTCTTTGAGTTTGCGAAGTTTGCGCTCCCTTGGCTATCGTCCGTTTTCCGACTTGTACTTTATCGATGACAAACGATCGCCGGTGGTCGACTACCGGCGGGAGCTGATCGCGTTTGGCGGCTCAAGATATCTGTTGCCTAACATTCCTGAAATTGACTCAGTTCGTAGTGTCATGCGAGAGTCATTGTTCATGAAAAAACATGCGACCGATCAGATAGGCAAGAGTGTGTCACTAGACTTGTACCCAAGGAGTGTCTTGCGTGACAAATATGGTGTAACGAATTTCTGACGACGGCGAAGCCAAGTGCGAACTTTTACGCACCCACCTCATTCGTCGTCATCGCCATCGTCGGCGGCGTCCTTCGCGTTCTCCGGTCGGTTGGGTTTAGACGGGCGGATGGGCGGAAATTCGTCCTCCAGTCATTTTGACCCTTTTTGTCGTTTTTGGGGTTGCTATGACTTGCCTTGCGTTGTCCTACCCTTCCTCACCCTGACCTGCCTTATATTCTCGTTCCCTGTCAAAAAGACTGTGGTGGCGACGTCGTTAGGGCGACATCGCGTGCTGCCTCTGCGCCTAACGTGCCGTCTGCTGTGCTGCACTGGTGTGTATTTTTATATCTGAATATACGCTGTGTTAAAGAACAGTCACACGGATGCCGATTAGTTCATTCACAGTCAAATTCTCAATATCTCGATCTCATTTAGATGAAATTTGCTAGTGGTCAGCAGCTCTTCTGTTTGACCGCTTCTTTTTGTGTAATTTTTCGGAAGTGATATTCTTGCAGAACATACGCTCTATAGGTGATTGGTGGCCACGTGTCGCAGCATCTGATGCCGGTTCCATGTAGCAAGACCCCCACTGATCAAGCTGTAAGCGCACATTACCGTTCATTGCACTCTTGTTGTTGTCTCTCTTGTTATTGTTGGTGGTGTTTCGTTAACGGCATGACCGTTACTTCGGTAACGGTTGGTTTTCGTTCGTTCGTCATTTGCTCGTTGCATGGTCGTGTCTTCGCTGATCGTTGTCGTCTGTCTCTTTGTCTCTCTGTTTGACATTGTGTTCATCGTCTTGGTACCGTTGTCTGTCGACCGGCCGATCTACCGACTTACTTATACTCACCCATCGACCGAACAGTAACCGTCCACAGCAGGCCTCCTTGCCTTTCCCAGGTTTTATGTTCCGTTGCTGCTTGACAACATCCGAGCTCCGAGGTGAAGTCGGCTGTTGCGTGCCTAATCTCTAACAAACGTGCTGTTGATTTTTCTTAAAAGCATGGTCTTGTCGTATATCTTCACTCGAATACCGCGTCAACATTCGTGAATACAGGAAAGTACTGTCCTTCCTACGTAGTAAGCACACATTCGCCGTCATCTTTGTTTGTTTGATATTATTTTTAAGCCCGTTGCTCCTCTGGAAAAATCTTATAAAAATTTTTTTCTCACCTAGAAATTACCATTTAATTATTTTTTTGCATACTTCATTGTTTTAGCATTCAACCGTGATCGTTTGATGACCGATGTTTATGACTTCATTTAGGTGAAGGCAATGATTAATAGTCTCTTTTAATTACCTTCTTCAGTTTGCTGGTCTGTTTCATTGGCTTTTGTTGTAACCGATGACCGTGCATAATCCGACGCGAAGGGTCGTCTTTCAGTAATCATCCGTCTCTCTTTCATTATTTGACCATTTGAGCTATGCAACGAAGGAATCATTGGTAGTCATGAGGTCTATCTTCGTTTGCAAACTAAGCTGACCCGTCTAATAGTTCGAGTAGAATCGCTGTGATTGATAACGAATGAGATGTTCAGCCATTCGAGTCTGTCATTTTATCGGTCGGCTGGTCAACAAAGAAGGCAGATTAAAGACCATCGTCAAGTGCGGGTTAATCATCCGTATCACACGATACTCGTCGTGTGCAATAAGCAATAATCTAGTGCCGAGTTACGTGAACAGAGGGAGATGTGCCGCAGGCGGCTGTATGTGTCAATACATTATTGCAGTTGTTATTTATAGCGACGGTGTAACGCATAACATAGGCGTATGGTCAGCTACAACTAAAGCATCAGAGTCCTAACATCGGTCTGTTACGAACGCATGCCGTTGGAAGTTGCTTTGTGTATGCGCGATTAGTTTAACGGTTGCTGATGAACCGAACAGCGTTGAATTGGATCGAGTGATCGATCAAGTCGTCTTAATCTGTCATGTGTAACAGCGACTGTCGCTTGCTGATTGCAGTTTATGATTTGATCGTGATGATCGTAGTGATGTTGATAATGATGATGATTACGATTATGATATGATGATGATTATGAACTGGCTTTTGTCGTCATGCTCAATGGTAGACACTAATCTGTACACTTTTGCGTTCCAGATTCGTGTCGTCAATGCGTTTCGTATGGGCATTGAACGCAGGGAACCCAGTCTTTCCGGCCCATCTGTTCAACGTCTGCGCGAAATCTCACGCCAGTTGCAGTTACAGCAGAAGCAGCGTTCGCGCACCACCTCTATCGCTTTTCCATTCTCCGCTCTTAATATCCGATCTTTATCTACCCCCTCCGGTCAGGTTCCCAAATCATCGAGTACGACTTCTTCGACAACTCCAGTCTAACTGACATCACCACTGAACAAGCGCGCAACCTCCTGCCTCTCTAGCGACATCCCATGCCTTACTGACCCGTCTCATACTGATACTTGTGTCGTTTGTTGTTTCTTAGAATTGCTTGTCTACCTTTCACAGTATTAGGTACGTAGGCTTTATGTGTATCGATTGTTTCGGTGATGCGATGATCTGCTCTTCTGGCTCTGCTATTGGTGGTTTTGTTCTAAGTACGGTGCTGTTCAGTTTTGTTTTGTCTTTACGAGAAGTGAAGCGCAACGCGTACTTAATTAATCGCCCTGATCTGAGGGACTAATATTGGATTTTGATCAAAAGTGTACCTTGTGTAAATAAGTAAGTTCTGTGAATCAAGTTGATGTCTTGATTGTATTGTTTTTATCGACTGTACGTAGTATCTCTCGCTGTGTACTGTGAATAATCGCTGCTTTTCCTATGCAAGATGTTTTCAGTGGAACTGTCAGGAACAAATGCAGTTTTAATAATCATCTTTTATTACCGTGCCAGCCATCCTATTTATCTTTCTGCTACTGCTGTTGCTGCTACTATCTGGTCGCCACCGTCGACGACGATATGCCAGCCGTTGTGTTGTTGACCTGACCCGGCCAATGTATTGTTTATAGTCGATACAGATACAGTTTTGTTTTTTTCAGCCGAAGGGGTACACATGTATTGTGCTTCGCGGCACGATTTCATTTCTCGTCTTTTACTTCAGTAGCTTCATCTGTGGTGAACGCGGTCTGCAGCTCAGGGTCTTGGTGACGTTGTCGTCGCTTGACTCATCCGCCACCCTCTCAGAACGGAGGGGATTCACCACTTCCGTACTGATGTGTACTTTCTGCCGATTTTGATTCTGTTACAGAGTGTTACTGGTCGTTGGATGGCGAAAACCGAAAAGGCGACCCCAAGGAAACGCTAGTTATATGTTTCTGCTGCTGATTTGTGTTTCATTTGTTGTACATGGCACATTACGTGCAAACTTTAGTTATTTTTATGTTTCTGATGGCGCTGTTTTAATACTTTGGTGTAGATTTGCTAATTCTCTGACTAGTTTTTATTCATTGTTTGAGTGTGAAGCGATTTTTCTGAGTTGGAATAAACGTTTTAACTGTAGTTATGAATTTTTTCGGTTGGCTTTAAACGTTTTATGAATCTGTCATCTTGTGCGATGTTATTTTCTCAAGAAGACAGTTTCCAATGTACTTGAGGCCGACTTTTCACGCTGTAGACATCATGCTGGATTAATTTCCCAGCTGGTTTGCATATGCCTATGAGCTGCTTGACCACTATTTTGTCCAAAGATGGAAAATATAATTTCTTCGAAGGATACGCTACGAATCTGGTCCGTGATTAAAGTCGCTGGTGATTCAGAAATTTAAATCTGGCCAGGGTTTGAAAAACTGTCATACACTGTGTAAAGTGACTAAAAGGTCGTTACATTTGCTGGCCATGTAGCGCAAATTTTTGAGGACAAACGATGTGTCCTTGTCAGTTTGCATCGAACAGCTGATTCTCTCTGAGTTAAGAGAGGTTTAATCAAGAACCACAATTTTCCTATTTTAAGTTGTTTCATTAGCGCTATCTTAACTGGAATGGATAGGTTAACGTTTTGGACCTGCAATGACGGAATCGTGGTTTCATTGATGTAGGTGATCTTCATCGAGTTGAATGTGGTGCCGAAGGCAAGTTATTCAGAGGATTACTCTGACTATCTTACTTGCAGCCAGGTGCAAGTTTCCGCTCTGTACTTAAGATGCTCAATTTTTGCGCCTAATTTGTTAATTTATGCCTCTATCAGATTAGAATGCAGTTCTTCATGGTAGACAGCCTATGGGGTCCAGTAGGAAACAATGAAAATTATTAATCTTGAGGTTAGTTACATGGTATTGCCCGTCATCGAGTGCATTTATTCATACCAACGATTTACTTGATAGTGCAACTGACTCTGATCATTAGTTTTAGCTCAAGCGCTTATTTATTACTCAATCTATTACATTTTCCGATTATTTCCTTTATACCGCAACTGTTTATGAAGAGTGGCAAAAAGAAACTTAAAATAAACGTTGATAGATTGTAAATCGATTAATATGTCCGTACACTCGATTCCCTTTCATTCAATAAAATGAACGCGGCTTATTTAAGGTGTAAAAATTTTTTGATACGGTCCATGTTCAAAACATCAGGCTAAGCCTTTTGGATCTATCTCGGAAAACTTACTCTATTTTAGCTACTTGGAAAAACAGCTGATTACCTGAGGTGCGCAATGGAAATTTTCTGAATAGTTAATCTCAATTATTGCAAAGGCAGGAGCGGTTTTACAACTTCAGTGAAGGTTAGTTCTGCTCATATTGCTTCCGTGTCGTATGAATCAGAATCAGGAAGGCAAAACTGGTTGCATTTGTGTAAAATTCTTGAGACTAGAACATTAGTTTCTCATAGAAAAGCACCATAATGCAGTGCATTCATAAACAGCGCAAAATTCTGGTCAGCAATTGTTGGATGGCTAATCATCATTGATGTCTGAACTCTAGCCCTATCTGGTCTCTCAAAGTAAGGAATATTCTTTTCATGTTCACAGCCGCTGCTACTTGCGGAGTCAGTAGTTCCTAACTTTTATAAAACAATGTATAATGATTTCAGCCCAGGAAAAGCTGACAGCGCAGTCACCACAGAAAGATCAGCACGATCTGTTTATAACATAGGACATAATAAAATTTTAATAAAATAATATGTACTTGCATTAATGTTGTCATTGTTTCCTAAAAACCTTCGAGACAAACTGAAATTGACCATCTTATGTTTGCTCCTTTCAGTAGGGCATGAATTCTTGTTTTTTGCACTTTTTCACAATAGCCTAAATTAAATCTCAATTAACTGAAATGCAAATCTCAATTTAATTTGTTTGAAACCACTAAACAAAATTTCTGCACCTTTGATAGCCACTGGATGTGGCGTTATTCTACGGTCATTTTTGCTCAGTGGTTGTCAGCGTTAGACATAAATGTGAAAACATTTGAAACTCACCATAGGACATACAATTATAAACCAGTTTTTTAAACTATATTCAACATGCCTAGCAATTGAAAGATTTGCATTAGTAAAACGTAATTGACTTTTTCCTGCAAATGATAAAAAAATTGCCTATCCTGATGATTAAGTATAGGTACTGTAGTATATTCCGACTGTGTCTTTCTCGTTGATCCTTTTCTGACGTACTATAGTGGCACGTCTGTCTCCGTTATGTTGCCGTTGTTGTGTTATTATAGCGGTTAGCTGCTGACTGGTATCTTCCGACTGGCAGAGGGCGATAAGCAGGCTCTGATCGCCGAATTTTCGCATCCTGCGTGGCCTTTGGTAACCCAGGCGACGATCGAGCCGGTATAATTTTCGATGATGTTAATGCCGTGAAGGCAAGTGGCGACCTTTTACGGAGAGTTTTCCACGGTCTCCCAGCCTCCTCCTTTCTCAGCTGAGCTTGGGACTGGCAACAGCAGAGTCTTTACCACACTGCAGTTATCTTCTGCCGAAGCTCAGACTCTGGCACATGATCGGGAACGTTTGAAGCACTGCCTGACGCATCTGCCTCCGCGACCGAAAAGGAAAAGCGGCCATGGAAAATGAAGAAGAAGACTGTGGTTACAGAAACGGCATTCTGATGTTTTTTGACCACGTAAGCATCCAGTTTTTTGATACGGCTCTGCACAGCAAGCCATAAGTTTCTGTAACTGTTTGTATTTGTTTCATATTGTATGGTGCCCACAGCACATGATCAAATAATTGCTGTAAAATGTGGCTAAGCTTTTCAAATTGTAACACCGTCTGGTGGAGTCATGCGTCATAACATGTTTCTTTTGTAACGTTTGAATTTGGAAATCGGTCTGATTCATGGACAATTTCCATAGTAATTACAAGGTATTTTCGATTGCGTTTTTATGCAGTTAAAAGTTCTGTTTGCTTCTAAATGGTGGCAGTATATGTTTTATGAGTTTCTGTTAACTATTTTCATGAATTTTAGACAATGAAATTTATTATTTGTTTTTGTGTCATTTTGTACTTGCCTAGGGTAATAGAATGTGTAAGCTGGTGATCCAGATCTCTCATATGGATTTGAATATTGACAACCTGTACGTCAAGTTGACAGCTACTGCATTTTTGGACCGATGTCTTAATTTATTGCAGTTTATTGAAGGGTGCCTGCATGCATTGAGGGCTCATTAACCACAGCTCTTTCTTTCTAAATGATGGTAAATTTATACAATTGTACGTCGTTAGGACACCCTTTGCAAAGTTAACTATCGCATAGGATACTCGCTTATGAAAAGTATATTCATGTACTAATACTGTCATCTGTACAACTACTTATGCCATGCGTTTCTGAAGAATGAAATTTGGTCTTGGAAATTATTTGTTTACTTGCTCAACTATTTTACTGCACGAGAATTCAGCTGAATACGCTAGTAATCTTTCTGACCAGTAGAGAATGCTATCTTCTTGAATTTCAGGGGACGGTGGGCAATGCATAAAATTTTTAATTGTAACTTTGCATCAGACTAGAGTTTCCTCTCGGTTTTGGTCTGAAACTTCAGTTTTCGAATCAAAATGAAGTAAACAAAAGCTGTTTTATGAGTTTTCCACTGTTCGTAATATTCAGAATGACCTTGTGAAATTTGATATATAATTTATTCAGTCAATTTCGATGACCATTTGTCCTTTCTGGACGCAGACGGAGAGGAAGGAAGACAGAATCCCCAACGTTTCTGATCGTCCAACTGCTAGCGTTTAAGTTTTGGCAGAAACGAACCCGAGTGTTTAGCGGAGATTTTCGTGGCACTTGCCTCTTGTCATTTATCGTCGTCACCGTTGTGCTTGGCCATTTTTTGGTGCAAGTAACGGCTGTTTCTTCTTCGTTTTGGAACCATTCTCAAGAATGCTTTAACCATCGCAGTTACGGCTTCTCAATCAGTAGAATTAGCGACTGTGCGCAAAGGCACTCTTGGATATCTGAACTACGGGCAATACCGAGGCGTATGGACTCAGTGATTCGTCTCAGAATGCCCATTTCAACCGCTGTCCTCATGGATTGAACTTTTTACTCATGACCGACATAGGGATGAAGATCGACTTGAACACAAAGAGTTTAGTCATCAGACTCGGTTCTACTTTAGTCACAATAGTTCTGGCTAGCTCACGCAGAGCTCCACTGCCCACTTCCTTATCCGCCTGTCAGTCTATCCTTAAAATGCTTCATAACCAGTAAACACAACTCCGATTTACTTGAACTTTTCCAAATGCTCCACTGCCTCGCCGTCAATCTGAAGTGAAAGGAGCATGCGTTCAGCTTTTCGGTTAAGATGCGTTCACAATCATGCCAGCCTCGCCGCACTCGACTGGGAACCTTACCGAGAGTGCTGCAGATCAGTTTCAGAAGAACTCAAATGACAGCAACCTTCTCGTCTCGACATCTCCTACACTGATACACTCGTCGTCGTGGCTGCGCCTCGTTATTCTATCCACGTACAGCAAACAGGAGAGGGGACAGGATGCAGTCTTGGCGGAGACCAGTGCCAAGTTACAAGGCTTCGACTTAACGCCATTAACTTTGACGCCACACCTGCTATCCAAATACAGTGAATGGATGGCCCTTAGCAGCTGGCCATCTATCCCGTATGCTCAAAGGCATGACCACGACTGTTGCGTGGAATCCGGTCATACGCTTTTTCTAGGTCCACAAAACACCTGTACACCGGATGGGCGTATTCCCACGATTTCTCAACAATCTGGCGCAGGGCAAATATATGGTCAGAGGTGCTTCTAGCGGACCGGAAGCCACACTGTTCTTTTTGAATCTTGAGG